CATGTAAAGGTACAATTCCCAAAGAGAAATGTAAATGTGTTGTATACCTACAATGTACCAATAAAAGAATTTAAGAAAAAAAAAATATAGAAAGTGGGGCATGGCAAAGGTGGCTGAAAACACGAGCAGGACTTCTCAGTTACAAAATTCCACGACAATGCCAGAAGCCCATATGAGGAACTTCTGGAGAGCTCTAGCAAGATGTGTACTGGATGCCCCAAGGAGCCGCTGTCCTAAATTCCCACAACAGCCAGCACCAGGTTTCTCAGACATGGCATGTACTTTTATTTTGCTTTTGTCTGCTTTTTTTCAGCCCAAGTTCACGCTGCAGTGCTGGTTTCTCCCATACCCATTCACCCCTCACTTTTCAAATAAACTTTTGGCACCATTAAAAAAAAAAAAAGAATAGCTATCATTCTGCATATCAAATCTTTGTAAATCAAATAATCAATTTAAATAAGCTTTTATCATTTTTTAATAAATTTTATCCCTTTACCCCCCTCAAGCCTCCTCTCCTCCCTGTGCACAAAAGCTTTGTTTCCATTTTTTCTTCTATTTCCACTTTTTTTCTTGTCCCTCCCTTTTTCATCATGTTACTTTGGTTTTTTCAAGAAGAACTTTACATTTGAAAACAGTTCTGAAAAGAGCTATTTTATAAGTTGATACAAAAAAGTCGATTTTTGTCATAAATATCTTAAAATTAATTATTTTGTAATCCTCTGACTGTGAAGGGTGATGATAAATTCTATGGCTACCGAAGGTGAAGAGGCACCAGAAACAAAAGAGGTACCTGAACTGTTGCTACTTTGGCCTAAAGGAAGGACAAGAAGTGGCTGTGGAAACCTGGGAGAAGAGTCACCTAGATTGGCAGCTTAAAGAACTTTTTGCTTGAAGGACATTAGTTCTTGATGTGCTCACAGTGGTAGAACCAGAAAAATCAATTTCTTTCTTTTCTTCCTCCCTCACCAGTGCTGTGCTGGGGATTAGCTGGACCCAGGTGGAGGCAGAGAAGGAATCTATGTGTATAGCCCACAAGGACAGCTTCCCAGACAAAGAGCAGAGGCAAGACAGTAGGAGTGGATCTAGAGGTATAAACAGAAGATATCTAGCAATGCACTAAATGTCCACCTCCAAGAGTGGTTTTAGATTGGTTTCATATTTTTAACTAGGAACCCTGTGTTCAAGTTCATTATTGCACTGGAAACCGAGTATGCAAAACAGAAAAGTAACCATTGTGAATGGGAGACCTCAAACTCAAAATCCCACCCAAGGGAATTCTGTTGAAAAAGGCTTAAAAAACACTGTTCTACAGTATGCATTTATGATTACATAGTATTATACTAATTAATGCACTATAACTCATAAAAACTATTGTTAAACATAAATTTCAAGTGTTTTCTCATGACAAGCCTGTTGTGATGAACAACCTCATGGCTAAATCTTGATATAAAACATCAATCACTTTTTTAGAAAGGTTTCTAGATAGAGTGACTGGTTCAAAGGGTAGATATTTTTGCATTTTTTTTTTTTTTGTACAGGGGATTGAACTCAGGACCTTGAGCTCATGAGGCAAGTGCCCTGCCACTGCACTAAATCCCTGGCCCCATTTTTGCTTCTTGATGTGTGTTTTCTCATTACCCTTCCAAAGGGTTATGCATTTTAACACTGTAATTTACAGTGCTTGAAAAATCCCAGTTCTTTCATATTCTTGCAACTTGGTATTATCTTTTTTTTTCTTTTAAATTCTTTTATTGGTACATTTTAGGTATACACTAGGTTTACATTTATCATTGGGTGCTTGGACCTGTACTTGATGTATCTTGGTTCTTATTTTTTTCCCCATTACCTGTGCACCCTTCACCCCCTCCACCTTTTTTAAAAAATAATTTTTGGGGTCATTTTTAGACACAAAAGTAATACTTCATTGTTAATTCAATTTGAGTTTCTTTTATTACCTATCAGGCTGAACTTTTTCCATGCAGGTTTATTTATCATTTAAATTCCTTCATTCATTGTATATGCTTCCCTTTGCTATTGATTTGTAAGAGCTCTTTATATAAAGGATATTTGTAACACGTACTTCCTTTGTGCATGATTTTATCACATTTTAGGACATGCAAAGTCCAATGTTTATGGATATACATTTATCAATATTTTCCTTATGGCTTTCTAGTTATACTTAAAACACCCCTTTATACCTCTAGATAGGGGTCTCTTAAATAATCCACTCTGACTTCTTTGTTCTTCGCTAATGAAATGTGAGATGCAGAGAGATAAAAGAAAATATCCATGAAACCAGAGACCTACATCAGCGCAGCTCTCAGTGCCTGCAGATTTGCATAACGTGACAGAGAATTCTGCTGTGAACATGGAGAGCCAGGATAAATCATGGTCTCAAGGAACAAAATATTCTCTTCCTATTTTCTGATCTGAATTGGTTTAGACCAAGCCTGGGGCACAGATAGGATAAGGTGGCTACCGAGAGGAAAAAGCTCCTCAAAAAGGCAGAGCTCTGTCTCCAGCCCTGCAAGCTGGCCTGCCCCAGGAGAGCCCTCAGCCTCTCAGACACAGGTGCACCCAAGTCCCAGCAATGCTAATAATTTGGTTGAAAGAACTTTTTACTATAGGATGCTTGAAAAGAAACAGTTTAACCAAAAATACCCCCAAAATATTGAGTGGGGCAAGGGACCCTGAGAAGGGGAGGAGAGCCCCCTCTCCCCCTTCTCCCCAACCTCCTGCACCTGGCAAAGCCCCTCTCTCCAGGGACCACTCCTTCCCTGGACAGCTGGTGCTCGCCACCCCTACCCAGGCCTGGCCCTGAGCCACAGACATGCTCCAAATGATACCTAGCCTACAAGAATCTTTGCAGATGCTATTATGATAAAACTATAATCCTTGCCCACCTCCTCTCCCCCTTAACCTCTCCTCTCCGTGCCTCTGTGTTTGTGAGTCTGTGTGTTTTGGGGAGGGAAGGGGTGAGAGACAGGGTAGCTTCAGAATTGGCAAACACAGGCTCCAGTTTCATAGGGTGGAATCATGTACGGAGATGGTGGCCTAGTCTCAGCTATTGGAGAAAGGCATTGCAGACAGCCTTCCTATCTGGATTTCAACTGTCTCAAAGCCTAACACAAGAAGGGGGGTCATTTTTTCTCCAACTATAACAAGGGATTTCATTTCCCCTCCTTTCCTCCCCTCGTCCCCATGAAAATGACCAGATAAAATACAACAAGAGTTAAATTTGTATTGCAGATCAATAACAATTCATAGGAGATAGATTTGTTGCTGAAATTAAAATTTAACTCAGTTCATTTGGGGTGTGACATTTTGTTTTGTTTTGTTTTGTTTTTTAATCAAATCTAGAAATCCTGTAGCTCCTCCCACTTAACACATTTCACTCTTCTGGCACTTACCATGCAGGGAGAAATGCTCTTTAAACTCCATTTTCTTTAAACTCCAAAAATCTTAGTAGTAGTGCTCTCTTTGGCAGCACATATACTAAAATTAGAAGGATACAGAGAAGATTAGCATGGCCCCTGTGCAAGGATGGCACGTAAATTCGTGAAGCGGTCCATATATTTTTAAAAATCTTAATAGTATGAACAACAAAAGCTCACATTTATTGTGCACTTAACTAGGCAATGAATAATATATTAACATTTATCAGGCACACAGGAAATGGGGTAAAAATAAGAACCAAGATACATCATGTACAGCAGGTACAAGCACCCAATGATAAATGTAAACATGTTGTATACCTAAAATGTACCGATGAAACAGTTTAAGCAAAAAAAATTTATCTACTTATATCTATGAAGTATATTAATGCACTGTACACACAACAACCCTATAAGTTATGATCTCTTATCTTTATCTGCATTTTGCTGATGAGTACAGTGAGGCAGAGAACCAACAATACCAATAACAAAATATCACAGAAAGGTTAAGCAGACACTGCTGCTGAGTGGCTGCTCAAGATAAACCTCCAGGAGGCCCACACTTCACTCAGCTCTATAAATTCCCTGGTGAATTCAACCCCTCTTCCTTATCCTTCCAGCCCCTGCTGAGTCCTGCTGGCTCCATTTCTTCCTCTGCTGGTCAGTGTGAGTGAAGAGGGATCCCACCTGTGGACAAGGAATATTTTTAAAGCTGGCAGCAGCTGCTGGCAAAAGAGACTCTTGCTGCCCACTCCTACTCCCACCCCTTGCAAATTCTACCCATTCACTCATTCTTGGAGGTCTTAGAAGCCCAGGAGTAGTGACTTTATTCTAGGCTTCAGAAGATAAATAAAGTAAAATCCCTTTGACATCACTTTCAATTATAGCTTTGGGGGAAGCTGGTAGGACCCAGCTGTCTGTGCTAAGGAGTTGATGGTCATTTTCTGGTCCCAACCTTAAGCCTCATGCAAAGGTGGAGTGGGTAGTGTATGAGGCTCCCATCCCCTGCATCCACAAGACCACCAGGCTAATGCCAGAAACACCCTCTGATGTTAACAACATAGAGAGAAGCCACTGGCCAAATGCACGAACTCAGCATAGTTCTGGGCTAACATCCAAGATGAGGCCATTACAAAACTTCTTTGGCCCTCATTCGTTCCATCTACAAAATGGTAATACTTATTATACCAAGTTCCTAGGGTGGTGGTGAGGATTAAATGAGATAGTGTGAAGCATCAGCATCGTGCCTTGCATGTAGAAACTAAGCTCTAGCCTTCTTCAGCGTTTCCTAAGAGAAACTTTTTGGTTGGATTCTTTTTACTAATTGTCATGTGAAAGCCAGGGCCCCATAGTTCTCACAACTTGGAGCAGGAGGATCATTGAGCCCAGGAGTTCAAGGCCAGAGCAACCCAGTGAGATCTCATTTTGTTTGTTTGTTTGTTTGTTTTCTTTTGTTTTAAAATAAAAAATAAAAACAAACTAATTGTCATGAGAAAAATTTAGGACCAAAATCCATCTGGGACCATTCATTCTTAAGAATATCATATTTAATATTGATTCATTCACAAAAAAGTCAAAATTTCAAATAATTATGGACTGTTTTTTCTGATATTCTCTCAATAAATACATATTATCTGCTGTGGTCTGGGTTTATGTTAGTACAGTGGGAAAATTATGCAGAAACATTATTTATAATGCTGCTAGATTTTTATAAAATGTCAGAGGATCCAATGAAAGGCGAATTCGAATCTACCAAAGCTTATTTCACAGTACTAAGTGGTAAATAGCAGAAATCGTTTGTTGTGAACCATTATTAACCTGTTATCCCAACACAATCAAGTTTTCAACTGTAGCAGTTGTGAAAGCTTAGTAGCTCCCCCAAAGATTTCAAACGAACATTAGAACTCCTGGCCTCAAACACTCACTTAGGACATACCTGGAACAACCCTAGTCTCCGACTGCTACAGAAAGCGATGCTCTCCATTTCACCGTCAATCGTGTTCCAGCTAGGTAGTGTTGAACCATTCAGAAAGGACAGTCACTTACCTCTACCCCCTCACCCAGTGCTCTTCCATAGGATCACCCTGAATTTTGATCTAATGATCCAACCCATACCCATGTTTAGTGCCAGTCATAACTTAAGAGAGTCACGTGACTGCCACAGTGTGCTTGGACTGAAAGATAGAGTCCAAGAGAAAGTCTCTAGAGAAGTACTCTAAATCTACTTCCTCAGCAACACATTCCCTCTGGATATCTATGTCTGTATAAGCTGCTTTTTAAGGCAACAACTCTCAGTGCTTTCTAGTCGCCAAGCGAGACCCCATTGTTATACTGTTTGCGTATCCTATCTATGTCTACTAATAAAATTCATTTACCTTTGTTTCCGTGTGTTCAATAAATATCTAATATTGAGGTCCTACAATGTACCAGTCAACTGATAGAACTATTAGGATTGTGTTTATGCATTTAAAGGCAACTGAAAAGATAACGCATCCATCAGGGTCAAGCACACAAATGCTATCCCGTCCTTCCATCCCTCTCTGCCTTGACTGTCTTTCTTCCCCTTCAATACAGAAGATCTCTGGCTTATCCTTCCTGGATCCCCATGTCATGCCCACTAACCTCCTTCATACACTATCGCACCTAGTTTCACACTGGCAGCCCTGTACTGATGGTACACAGTGTGTTGGCATAACCACTCTTCCAGTCGTAAGCTGGAAGAGGGCAGGACCAGTTGATTAGACACTGGGCCCCCCATAATTGGTACGGTGCCTGACACACAGGAGTGCCATAAATATTTACTAAACATTTAGTGGCTGCAGAATTGTTTTTTCCCTCAGACCACTATGTGGATGTTTATGTGTGTGTTGTGTATAAATCTACATATATACAAGCACACATGCAACTTACTAGTTATATGTCCCTGGGTATACACATCTCTGGGCTTCAGATTCTAAGAGAAAATAATAGTTCCTTCCCATAGAATTGCTGGAGAATACTAGAGTATGTATGTATATTATGTACACAGAACAGCTCTAGATATCTGTACCCTCCCTAGAATACCTCTGACCATCAGAGGCTAAGGACAAGGTAGGACAGCCCGGTTGGTGACCATAGGTTTGCAGAGAAACAAGTACAGAGAAAGTGCTTATCATTTTAGAAGGAAAGATAGTTCAGCTCTTATTTGTAGTTTTCTATGGTGACTGGCCTTTCCCTGCCCTCTAGATAAATTTTGGTAGACCTTGACCCTAAAAATCCAAGAGTGGTAACACCCTACACCTGCCTATATGATTACAGAACCCTGAAGGTCTATGAAGCACTGACTGAAACTCTCCTGGGGACCATCAAGGACATTGGGTGTAATGGGACAGACAGAAGGACCAGGCGCTCCGTGTGCACCTGCCCCCTGCATGCACCCCCATACCTGCCTGCCTTTCTCCGAACCTGACCTCTTGGGCCCACCCCACTGATCCCCCAGAGCCCTGGCCTCCCTATGACCCAGCAAGCAATGTCTGTAATAAGGTGCAGAATGTCTTTTCCGTTGGCAGCTGGTGGATAGTGGAGACAGGGTCAGAGAGGCCAGGAAGAAAAGAGAAGAATGGAGCGAGGGTGGGAGGGAAAGAGACTTTGATGGAAGGCAACAGGGGTGCTTGTGAAAAAAGTCTCCTCATCAGCCCTTGGTCCCTGGAGACTTTCCATCTAGTCAAAACAGAAATTTAGTTCCAAAGGAGCACAGGAAACTTGTGGTTATCAAAAAGAAAAAGGAACTTTCCCATCCTGCTCTTTTCTCTTTCTCTCCCTGACCACTGACAGATAAAATTTCATTCTTGGGGCTTCTTGGGATAAACCAGTCTGATGATCAGAGTATCTACTGCTTCCAAAGGCAATGCTCTGCCTCTGTGAAGTCATTGAGGAGAGGCAAGTTCACCCTGCTTCCGCTCAAGGGAGACTTTGCTACTTTCCACACAGCTGGCTGAAAGCGCAGCTTTGCAGCTGAGTCACTGTGGTCCTGGAGGTCCAGGTCTAGGTTGTTCCTTAAACCCAATGGACAGTGGTTCTAGCAATTTGGAACAGGAGGGCTTTGGGTTAGACAAAAGGACGCAGCTCCAGGTAGAAAGGTCAAAAGATCCTGGAGCCTTCTTGCTGGAAGGGTGAGAGGGGGGACAATGTAGGAAGAAAACCATGGCCTTGGAGTGGTTCACACCTGCCATCCAATCTTGGGCCTCAGCAAGTGGTGTGCCCCCTTATGGTTTCAATTTTAACTACAAATTAGGAACTATCATCTGTTAAATTTTGTCTCCATATATTTTAAGTTTGGCTTAATGGTTTCTTTGTAACCTAAATTGATGTGTAAACAGACTGTACTCTATTCTTGTAACAAGTAGTTGAGTCTCAGCCAATCACAAGCAGCCAAGCATTCCAACCATGTTCAAATAAAAGAGATGCTAGCTATATAACCAATCAGGTTGTCTCTATATCTCACTTCTCTTTTCTATATGACATTTCCTCTTCTCTGACTATAAATGCAACCTGCCATGTGGAGTGGGCATTCTGAACCACTTTTGGTCTGGACTGCTGCCAGACTCTAGAATCACAAAGCCAATTAAGATCTGCAAAACTCCATTTGCTGCAATCTTTAGACAGCCTATGTCTGGAGGGTCTTTGAGAGCAGTAGTTCTGGATAAATTCAGCAAATTTAATATGCATGTCCTCAAACCAAACTTAGAGGCAAGAAGAAAAAGAATGGAAGAAGCAACCACAGAAGACAGAAGACATGAGGGACAAGTTTGTAGATGGAAAAGCAATGGGGGAAGAAAAGCTAATTCAGCAAAAGGGGCCCCCAGGGTGTGGGTTGGAGAAGAGACAACAAACATGTTCCACTACCAGGCTGTCAGATTTGTGCTGAAGTATAAGTACTAGGAAGCAATGGTAAAGCTTGCAACTGAAAACATAGCACGTGCTTGGATATCCCTAAGAAGTGAATAAAACCCATGTCCTCTTCTCCAGCCCACACAGCAATAAAACTCACCTATGCCCCTCTTCCAAAGAGGCAAGGTGAAAGCACAGAGGCTGAGTAGGATTCTGCACACACCCCATAATAGTCCCCACCCCCAGCAATGCCTTTTCCTTAGAACTCTGAACTACTAAAAGTTAGATGTTCACCTCCCAAGTAAGAGGTCACAGAATCCTCTGAAACAACTGCATGCACCCAGAGAACAGGCCCAAGACACTGGTGTTTAGGGGGCTTGCAATGAAAACTCCTGTTCACAGCCTAATCACCTTAAATTCCTGTGCCCCCGGTAAGTAAAACTGAGCAGTCAAAAACCCCTGCTGCAAAACCGAAGTTCCAATCAGTTGGTATTATATTGTAAAGTATAATGTACATAAAACATCACATATAAAGGACATATGAAGTTAAAATAATCATATTAAGAATAGCCACATGTACCTCCCATTTGACCTAGGAACTAGAAATTCACCAATAGCTTTAAACCACATATGAGTTTCCACCTCATGGTATCCTTCCCCGTCTCAAAGTAACCACCATGCCTGATTCTGTTTTAATGTTTTTGGCTTTTCTTTATGATTATACCACACATGTATATATCTTTAAACAATACATTGTTTTGTTTTACCAACTTTTGAACTTCGTATAAATGGTATCATACTATATTTATTCTATGACT